TCAAATCACTCGGCGGTGATTTGAGGACTTTGCTTCAGACATTTCTAAAAATATCTGTACTGTTTTATGAGAGAGAGGTGAGTTTAAGAGTAAATTGAGATTTATCTTACAGAGGAAATGTGTGAGGGAATTTAATCTGTTTGACCAGAAGTTGCACGCTCCGTCAGATCTCCAGCCTGTCCACGGTACACTTTAGTCGAAGAAGAGGCCGTTACCTGGTTGATGATAGATCAGCTCAGTAAGAATCCTTTTCAACTGATATCAGCGTCTCCGTTGAAAACAGCTAAAATCCTCGAAGAGTCGTGCGTGGTTAGTTCAAAACAGAATTATAATCCCAAAACCTCTGGATTCTTCATTGCTCTGAAACTTTCAGAACCGGCTGCACTCTCAATCTGCTCATTCTGTTGGACTATCGGACCTGTTGTCAGCTCTCAATCCAACATCTCTCAGAACTCTCAATCTAACTTGAACTGGGAAGTGCCACATTTTATTTGGGTCGACTTCCTGTTCAGTTTAGAGCTTTCTGATTCGTGGAAGGACCAGAAAGAGGAGTGTTTTTGACGTAAGGTGTTTATCAACAGTCGAGGTCAGAGAATGAAACTTGTTTAACATACAGAAAAGATTACTGCAGAAGCAGCAGACTTTTTGGAGTCTACTCTTGGTAATCTTCTGAAAAAGTTTAAACATGACATTTCTTCTTCAGTAAACATTTTAGTTGACCGAAGACCAACCTTTCACATACTTACGACAGCTTGCTCATTTCAGACAGAAAATCAAGAAAGGCATATTCAGGTGATTTCTTCTCTGAATGAGGAACAAAAATCATTACTTACTGTTTATGTAAAATAAAAATTAGTAGTTCTTTTCAACCTGTAAAGCATTGAGTGAACTAACACAATTTGATTATCAAAACATTTGTAAGACAGTAATGATTATAAAGAATTGTCTTTTCTGCTTGATTAATTCAAGAAAGAAAGTTCATCAGATGGTTCAGACTTATTCAGATCAATGAAAATAACAGTCTCTGTCCATCTGGTAGATTTGAGGTCATCTGGTTCACTACATGCTATTAGTGCTTAGTGTATTTTTAGTTGATGTTTTTCTTAGTTCATATCTTAGATTTTATTGCTGTTTTTCTTTTACATTTTATTGTGGGATGTAATTGGGACCCTGTGTACATAATCTCTTTATTTTCTGGTCTGCCCCAAAGTTCTCTTAATTGTTTTCATCTAGTACAAAACACTGCAGCTAGAGTTCTCACAAGGTCCCATAAATATCTTTTATGGTCAGGACTCCTAATTTGTGGAATGCTCTTCCTTTAAATATTAGACAGGCGTCTTCATTGTCTTCTTTTAAATCATTAGTTAAAACTTACTTCTTTAATAATACTTTAATATGTGAATTTCTTTGTTTTTTCACAAATATTGTTATGGATTTTAATTGATTTGGTATACTTTTGCTCCTCCCTGGGCTGCCACCATACCGTGGTGGAGGGGTTTGAGTGTCCCAATGATCCTAGGAGCTATGCTGTCAGGGGCTTTACGCCCCTAGTAGGGTCATCCATGGCAGACAGGTCCTAGGTGAGGGACCAGACAAAGTGCAGCCCAAAGACCCTGATGATGAGTGAAATAAACAGACTTAATGTTCCCTTGCCTGGACGTGGGTCACCGGGGCCCCACTCTGGAGCCAGGCCTGGAGGTG